CGCCTGCCTCTGGGGGGCTGCGGGTGACAGCGCGGCGCGGAGGGAGCGTGTGGCCCGTTGCGGCTGGCTGGTTCTGTAGCCGATTTTGGAAACTCGCTTGCACCTGCGGCGGTAGAACGGGACTGCAGGATCCCTCCTCCGCCAGGACCTGAGACTAATCAGCTCTCCGCTTTCACCGGAGCGAGAGAAGCTGCTTCTGGCCTCTGCCGAGGCCTGAGAGGAATCTAGGCAGATGGCAGCTGGTGGGAGAGGCGCTTGGAAACAGGGTTTGCTTCTTGTTGACATCCAAGATAGCTGCTTTAGAAGTAGGTAAATGCTCAGCTGCAGCACCTATCACCAAGGGTAGTGTCTTAGACTTTACTAGATCAAATGCGGTTTAGATTTATTTAATCGGGAGAAGCGTGTGACATCAAATTAATCAGCGGTGCTCCAAAATTTGTATTTGTAACTACTTGGTGAAAGAAAAGGTTTGTGAGGTTTTATAACACAGCATTTGAATTTCCTAAATGATTAAAATTCAGCAAGTACACCGAGCTTGTAACTTAAATTAATTCCCAGTGCTCACTGGTATCTGCTTACGTCATCTGTCGGGTTTGAGACTTGTGTGCTCCAGTGAGAGAGCACAGTCAGTATTAATGTAAAAGAATGGCACGGCTGCCCCTACTTCCAGCAAACTGCTTGCAGATTGTTTGCAAGCATGAGATTGTTTCTTGAAGACATTCATAGATATTAAATGTGAAATTCCCAAGTTTCACTCAATCAGTTTCCACGTTAGCAAACAGAAGAAGATTGCATTGACTGAATAAGCGTACTTTATTCTCTCAGCTTTAATTATAAACTGGTTCTGGTTTTAAGACCCCGAGTTCATGATCCTATGGACATGTATGCATCTACTTGAGTTGATTCAACAGCATTTGTGCTTAAACACACAGGTATGTTAACAGTAGCGTTACAGCCTGTGCATTATTTTTGCTTTTTTAATAATTATAGATCAACAAGCCTGAGAAGCTGGACAAGCCAGAGAGCTGTGATAATGTCAAGGTTGTTGTTCGATGTCGGCCTCTTAATGAACGAGAGAAAGCTACGGGCTACAAAATGGCAGTCAACGTAGATGAAATGAGAGGAACTATAACTGTTCATAAAACCGACTCATCCAATGAGCCTCCCAAGACATTTACGTTTGACACAGTGTTTGGACCAGAGAGTAAACAGCTGGATGTCTATAACTTAACTGCAAGACCTATTATTGACTCTGTCTTAGAAGGATACAATGGTAAGTCCCTTGTTGTTTTAAGTCAAGGATCCCATCTCCTGTTCTTTGTTGTTGCTGCTGATCTTACTTAAGGGAGTTTCACCTTCTGAGGGCTGTAGCCCTGTATTGTTTCTGTTGTGGCCTCTAACTTAAAATAGCCTGAAGGTACTTGCTGTTCCCAGTACTCAGTGGTTGTACTTACTATGATCGTTAACAGTGGGAGATCAGTGATGAACAAGACTCAGCCGAGGTCAGTTAGCTGTATGTTTTTATTCTGTATCTTATGTTTGCAAAAGATATACACTTTATCTCATTATCAGAATTCTCAGCGGCTCTTCGCTATACAATTTCAGTAACCAGGCAGCTGCCACGGTCCTGCAGTAACTAGGTATGCGTACCAGACTTGTGCATATAACTGCTGCATTTTCTCCTCTAAACTTTGCTGTTTTAAACTAAGATGACTAGTTAAACACATCTGCCCTACCCCACAGATAATCTTTTGCTTCCTACAGCTGGGAGGAGTATGACCATGATTTGTGTGTGTGTCTGTTATGCATGTAAATGTATTATGTAAAGGAAAGCAGATGCTAGTAAGGAAGCAAATTACTGCTTTCCATAACAGTATGCTATAAACAACACCAGTTTTTAAAGGTTTGTAAAATGCCTAATAAGCTCTTGTGCTAACACACCCAGGTTTCAGCTGATTAAAATTCAGCTTTTCTGAACTGTAATGTCAATGGCTTGACAATCAAAATGTGAGTTTTCAGCAGTGCTAGGCTAAACTTCAGAACCAGTATATTTCTGGAATACCAGACTCTGGGATCTCAGTAAAGCTTCTGGATGTCTTCCTGTGCAGGCTGATTATCTAGTCCAAATTGTAGCTGCTTCTGCAGGTTCAGAACTGGGCTTGTGCTTTGGCCTCTGTTGTAGAAGCCTCACGCTGTTTCTGCTGTGGCGTAGAGCACTAGCAATAGTTGGTTTTGCAGTTGGTGTATAATGATCTTCCTCTAATTGACCATGTTATTAATTGGGCTTGCCTTAATTATTTGTGTGTGAGACCTAAGTGTATCAGCGCTCCATATTTTAATCACTCTGCACAGTTAAAAAAAGCTGACTTTTTCTTAGATATCTTGCGGGCTGGATAAAAAAAACTAGTGGCTCAGCCCTGCTCGCTGTGGTTGTCCAGCATTTCTGTTGCTCCTAGCCTTGTACAGTATCTACTGGAGTGGGTGGCAAACTTCAACTCCATAAAAATAGTGGTGTTTAGTGCCATCGGGCTAAGAAGGGATGAAGTAAAACTGCAGTTAGCAACCTCTTAGAGTTTGTTCATATATGTTCTTATCATTCAGGTACTATTTTTGCATATGGACAGACTGGAACAGGCAAAACTTTCACCATGGAAGGGGTCCGAGCAGTTCCTGAGCTTAGAGGCATCATTCCCAATTCCTTTGCCCATATATTTGGTCACATTGCCAAGGCAGAGGGGGATACAAGGTAAACAGCTTCTCTTCACTGCTTCTCTTTTGTGTGTCCATCTGTGGTAGGAGCCTGACCTTGACAATGGCAACTGAAATGATACCTCTGGCCCTAGCTGAAAGACTTCTACTTAGGCGGTTCTTGAGGGGGTAGCAGGATTGTGCTGGTATATCACTGCATTTTCTTTGTACTCTCTGATTGTGTTTGTTGGACTTCAACGAATGTCTTGCTAAGAAAGCTCCCCAACTGTTTGTCTTCAGGTTTTTAGTTCGTGTGTCTTACCTGGAGATTTACAATGAAGAAGTGCGGGACCTGCTAGGAAAAGACCAGACGCAGAGATTAGAGGTGAGCCTGCTGTTCTGAATGTGATGTTTGCTTTGAATCGGTGAGCAATATTATATTTTAAAGACCGCAGAAGCACTTGAAGGGAAGTGGGAGGTTGGGCTCCTCAGCACATGTAGCGTTTCCTTTCAGATACAGTAGCTGGATACCACTACTGACTTCTCTAATCTTTTCCACTTGGTCAGCTGCATAGTGAGAAACTGGCTGTTCCATCTGAGTGAGTTTTGTGCCTGCAGATCTACCCCAAAGGCCCCTCGGCAGTCTTTCTAGGAACTGCAGACTGAGATTTGAAGTCACTGTTTGCCACCAGGGGAAACCAGTGGAATACTGTCCTGCAGGAGTCTTTGTTCCTTAGCTGCTCTGATTGAGTGTTGGAGTGAACCGCTGAAATTGGCTATTGGGGAATCTCCTAAGGATGCTCAGTCTAAACTGTTTCTCTCTTAGGTTAAGGAGAGACCTGATGTGGGAGTTTATATCAAAGACCTTTCAGCTTATGTCGTAAACAATGCAGATGATATGGACAGAATCATGACTCTGGGCCACAAGAACCGTACGTAGCCTTGCTGTGGGCAGGTTTATAGCTCAGACAGAGCAAAGGTCTGGTTATGAGACCACAGTAAGAGATCCTAGTCCTAATGCTGGAAAGATTGTTCAGCTGAGCAGAGCAAAAAGGGTATCTCCTCCCAAACCCCTTTTGTGCAGGGACAGGTAAAGAAGGCTGTGCCTCCCACACCGGCCAGTGCCAGTGGGGGAGACGGCAAAGGGGAGGATGCAGTGAGGGCAGTCAGCGTTGTCAGAACTACTGGTGTGTGTCTTGCTTCCTCTCCCTCTTCGGTTCTGATCAGGATGAACAACTAGCCCTGTGCTGTGAGTGGGAAGTGGTTTGTTTTCTGGAAGACTTCTTAGTTAAGCTCAGATCCTTTTATGACCTAAAGTTCTGACTACTGTTGCTACTGGCATGGATTGCTATGTTCTTATTTCTCAAAATACAGCTGTTTTCAGGGATCAGCTGTGAATGCCTTAGGCTACTGATCTTTGTAGCCTTAAAGAAACAGATGAGAACTACTGCTGCTCTTGGGATGGGAGTCTGTGGTTGGCTTAGAGCTACAGCAGGCTGTAACACTTCTGCTAGTCCAGATTGGAGATGTGCTGCAACTTCAGTGCCCAAGAATACAGTTTACTGCTGAGTCTGAACATCCCTCTTCCATCTTCTGAAAAACAGGGTTGGGTAAAGAGGTGGGGATAAGTCTCCTCTGAGAGCAGGAAGAGTGTTAGAGGAGCATGTGATTCCTTCTGAAGATGACATTGCTTTTTCTCTCTATTAAAAGGTTCTGTTGGTGCCACAAACATGAATGAGCACAGCTCTCGTTCACACGCCATCTTCACGATCACTATTGAGTGCAGTGAGAAGGGGGTTGATGGAAACATGCACGTGCGCATGGGCAAACTGCATCTCGTCGATCTTGCTGTAAGTAGGACCAGCTGGGTCTGCCATAACGCATGGTGGGCATTGCTGCTTGCGTATGCGCTGTTGAAGGCACAGTAAAGGGCATGTCCCCTGTTTCACAGCTAAAGCCCAGACTTCTGTCTGACATTTGACTGCTGTGAAGTATTCACTTGGGGCCTTAAATCAGAGGTATACCAGGAAGAGCCTTCCGTGTAGCCAGAGCCTCTCCCAGTAAAAGGGCTCTCTTGCTTCTATAAATTAATTATTAAATGGATAAACCACATTGGAAAGAGCTCTCTGGACAGCAGAACTGGGTCTTTGCAAGAGTTTGGTTTTTCAGAGGATTGTGACCATGCAGTTCATCACTTGCAGGTTCTCTCCCTCTGTCACTCACTTTGAACCAATGTAATTGTGCTGGTAAAATGTGTCTTTAGCCCAGACTTTACACTGGAGTATCTTTCCTTGGACAAGATGCAGGAAAGGGGAGACTAAAGGCATTCAATGTCTGCATGTTAACTTTATTTACGTGATGTATGTTCAGGTTCTATGAAACTTAAATAATTGCAGTGTTGCTTTTCTCCTTTGACCTGCTGATAGGAAAGGCTGGAGATGGTGCTTAGCAGCTCCAGCTGAGGCACCTCATAACTGCTGACTTGCTCCTCATAAAATTTTTGTTTGTGGGGACAAAATCTGTTTTCCCGGCTGCATTACTTTGAGCAAACCAGAATTTGCTGGCCTTGAAAGCTTCAGTTAAGACCTGTTTGACTTGTCTCTTTAACAATGTCTGAGGTACTTAGCCAGATTCTTTAATAATGGATGAGGTGGTTAGTGACATGGCTGCTAGCAAGACTTCAGGTGTAGCTGATCCTGTTTGGAGGAAGGAGATGTACTAGAGAATCTGTTGTAACTCGTGCTTCTGCTTCCCATTCCCTTTCCAGGGTTCTGAAAGACAGGCAAAAACTGGAGCCACAGGGCAGCGACTAAAGGAAGCTACAAAGATCAACCTCTCTCTTTCCACGCTGGGGAACGTTATCTCTGCGCTGGTGGATGGCAAGAGCACCCATGTGCCCTACCGTAACTCCAAACTTACGCGTCTCCTTCAGGATTCCCTGGGGGGCAACTCCAAAACCATGATGGTAAGCTGAGATGCCCTTTCCAGTGCCAGCGATGGAGCTGCATTTTTACAGGGATAGCATAGTGACTCTGCCGTGAGAACAGCCTGGCATTTACCTCTTTATTTCAGAGCTGTTTGCAGCTTAGAGAACCTTTTATGTGCATCTTTGTCTGTCTTTTCTCTTTGCCCCTGTACAGATGAGGTTCTAAACATAGTGCAAATGTACACATGTGCATAAGATCAAATAGAAGCTGTGCTTGGGTAGCCAAAAGCAGCTTTGGTGTAGAAGCAGCAGGAAAGCTTGGGAAAGAGTAGCAGTGTGAGATTGGCAGAGCTGGGGATGGGTCCCTGTGAAATTACTTGTTCTGGGCTCTGGCACTCTGTCCTCCAGTAACTCGGTCTTCCATGTGTCACAGTGTGCGAACATTGGTCCAGCAGACTACAACTACGATGAGACTATCAGCACTCTCAGGTATGCAAACCGAGCCAAGAACATAAAGAACAAGGCCAGGATTAATGAAGATCCCAAGGATGCTTTGCTCCGCCAGTTTCAAAAAGAAATTGAAGAGCTTAAGAAAAAACTGGAAGAAGGTGAGATTGTCCTTCCGCCTAGTGTTTCTCTCTATGCCAATGCTCATTCTGTTTGAGCGTGAACATTCTTCACCGTTTGAAGGTGTGTCACACGAGTTTAGTAGCTGGTCAGTGCCCTGGTTTTGTTCGCCCTGCTCTGTTCCGGGAGAGGCGTCTCGAGGGCAGCAGGGTGCTGGCGGGGGCCCGGCTTTGCCCGCTAGGTGGCACTTGGCACTAGGATAAGTGGTGGCTTCTGGGCTGCGTTAGGTGTGCCCGGGCTCGCCTGGTGAGCAGCAGGGCTCTGAGCACGGCTGGACA